ATTCCAAATCTGTAATGGAATGCTCATTGTTCACTATTAAATTGAAAAATTGAAATTGAATTTTGAAGTGTTGTTTTGTGATGTTACTATTCAAGTAACAACTCATTGTTTAAAATGGAATTTGGTTTTGCAATCTTGAAATTCAAATTGGAATTAGATTGAAGTGAGTTGTGTAGAGAACAACTATGTTGAAATTTCTTGGAAATTGCTTTGATGCACATACTTTAAATTGATAATTTGAAAGGCATGTCCCCATTCCATTTTAATTGCTTGTCTTAAGTGTGAAATTGCATTGGATGTTTGTCTACATTGTTGTAAATGCATGAATTTTGTGCCTTGAATTTGAACTAGTGTTCTTCAACCTTGAAAATGGAAAGTCAAATTCTAAATGCATTAATTTCAAATGAAAATTTTTGCAAGTTTTTGAACTTAAAATGACTCTTGCTCTTGATTAAGGTGCATTTTTGGAAAAATATTATTCAAAACTTGGAAATTTCATTTGTAAACCACTTGTTGATTTTCAAATGTTAGAAAATGAGTTTTTGGACTTTGAAATTTAAATGTGAAGTTGAGTCTTGAATTCCTTCAAATACCAAGTGTTTCAATGCATGATGCTTCTTATGGTGTCTATTCAAAATGCATGCAAGCACTTGAACCCTAAGTTTCAAAAAATTCCATTTTTGACCCAAAGTTTTGAGATTTTCCAAAAGTTGACCAAAAAGTAAATGAATTGAACTTGGTTCCATTTGTTCTATTCTTCATCCAAATGCATATTTCAAGTGCCATTGAGATGTTTTTGTCCAATTCTTGATTCTTGCCATGTTAGGCCTATATTTGATATCTTTTGAGCTAAGTTGGCACGAACTTGAAGCTTTTCTTGGAAAATGTGTTGAATTGTCATCTTCTACCCACCTTTATGAAGTCAAATGTTGTGATGTTGCATAGAATTTTGAACTTGGCCTAATGTGGTTCTCTTTGAATAAGGTTGCCTTTTGGAATAAATTGCAACTTGTTGCGTGTACATATACATTTTGCACACCTTGGTCACAGTCATGGTTTTGAAAGCTTGTTTGCTTCTTTTGAATAAATTTTTGTTGCAACATCATGATTCTTGAATCTTTGAATAAGTTTAGGGGGAAGAGAATATTTTGAGTTCAAAATGCTTATCTAGGATGCCATTGTCATACTTAGGCTAAGTACACACTTGTGGGTATGAAATTGAACTTTAAACTGAAATTTGAAATAAGTTTAGGGTTAATGTTTCTTGATTATTTGGAATGTCATCTTGAACTTAAATTGCTTAAAAACTTGAACCAAATTGTAAATTGTGGTTAAGTTTAGGAAATCTGAACATGAAATGCTTTCTTACTTGCATAATATCATTGTGTTACCTTCTTGAAAGCTTGTAAGGGCTTGAGACCATGATTCTTCACCATTCATTGCTTTTAATCCAAAGGGGCAAAATTCTCATCATCTCATTCAATAACATTTCTTTGCTTCATTTATGCTTAAAAGGGGGTCGCGAGCCATAACGATCATTTTTATTATCTATATTGCATAGAGGGGGTCACGAGCCTTGAATGATCATAGGTTGTTGATTTTGTGAAGTGGAGGATGGGATATTTATGTGAATGGAGTTTGGTTTTGAATATTAGGCATCATCTCTAACTTTCTTCATATGTAGCATATCATGTTTAGAATTCATCCTTGAACATGTGCATCATAACATGCCCAGGATAGAAGTGTTTACAACCGTGCATTTCACTTACTCTCTATTTCATGATATTACAATTTGGTATTGTAACAAGCAAGTTTTTATCTAAGATATCTTAAGTGTGATAGAAAAAATTCCGGTGCAACATCTTTAGAAAAATAAAATGATACTGAAGAATAAGGATTGTGTTTAACTAGGTTCTTGGAAAATAGTCGAGACCACATTAAGAATTGGTTGAAAAAGGTTATGGATAAAATTAATAGGGGCAACATACTATAATTTTTCTGCCACTTCCATAATAAATCCTACCTCCATTAAGTGACTTTACCAAATTGTCCGTGTATTTCAATCTAAGATTGACCACAATCTATTTGCACCAATCAGTTCATACAATGAAACTAAGTATTAGGAGAACATAAGAAATTACAAATAAAAATTTAGAATTCCTACAAGTCCATAAAAGAGAAATTATTGCTTAAATGTGAAAATGTTAAGGAACATGGGCACATAAAAAATGTTTAATCATAATATATGTTTCAAGATGGCAGGTTAAGTACATTGGTGAAGGAACCAAACAATTACTAAAATTGATTACTTGATATAGACACTTCTAGATAAATCCACCTCAAGGATCCATACATTTTATGTATTTTAATATATCTCAACTCTATATTCTCATAAATTCAGGGCCAACATTATTAATTCAATTTTTTGGCCACTTCTCGTAAGTGTAATACCAGTACTAAAGGATAAAACCATTCCTATCAATGTATTATCGGCATATAGAAGACATAATGTTGTTTTATACAAATTCCATATCTAGTTAAGTTACTAAAGCAAACAAGCCTTCTTTAGTAACATTAAGTTCGCATAGAATTTTGACAAACAGACCTTTGCTCATTTTAAAATTAACGCATCTCTCTCTCTGCTCTTCCTTCTTTCTGAAAGCAATCTCAAACCAAGCATTTAGACCAAATATTCTTTACCACCTCGGCAGATAAAAGAAGTCAATCTCCTTTTATAAAATGATGCTTTATTGCTATTTGTGTAGCAACACAATCATCTGTAAACCATTAGAAAACAATAAAGTGTCTTCAAATCATAAAACTCATCTATAACTTGATTTCAAAATAATAAGAATAATAATAAAATAGACTTTCCGGGTGATGGAAGAGATAATAGGATGTCTAGTTTTGGAAAAATGACATGAAAATTCAATCTATAAGTCATTGACATAAAAGTTAAGTAATACCCAGTTGAGAAAAGTAACTAAACAGAGACATAAAATGCATATTTCTCTTCTACCGTTCACAAATCATAATTACATTGCAACCCAAAAACCAAATTCAGCATAAACAATAAATTGTAAATGTGTCAAATTGTGGTGATTGATATCAAATAACAATGAAAACAATGAATTCAAACCCAATTCAACACAACCCAAATGTGTCAAATTGTGGTGATTAATATTTAACAACCTGTTTTAAACACAAGTCTTAAACAAGCACTTAACAAGACATGCTTTTCTTGTATGTTGTTAATTACAAGTTGTAAAAAATCAATTTTCTTGTAGTGTAATAGTACTTCTTCAGTCATTATATTGTTACATACTAACGGTGGAGTGCATGCATGTTTGGAATTTATGATAGATGTATTTGGTGTGTGTGTGTAGAGAGAGAGCATTTTTTGTTTTGCAGTAAGATAAGATTAGTAGATGGGGTTCAGGGGTTGAAGAAACTAACTAAAAACTTCATGGCATATAGTCATGAGCTGTTAGCTCTTTTTCGTTTTCAGTACCCTACTGACATTCTATTAGAGCTTAACTAAACTAATCCACAAAACACACACACACACACACACAGTTGGGTTTTCAAGAATCACATAAGTCAGATACATCATAACATGGATTCTCTTTTCTCTTGTAATATATATCATCATCAGATTTGTTGTAGTTATAGTGTCTCCACATAAATCTGAAGGCACAACGGAAGCGATAATATAATTTCAGGAGCATAACCACATGATATTTCATCAAATCAAGAAATACTGAAAAGAGATTTCATACCTTTGGACGATTGATTAATCGTCAATACTCCGAGAATAATAGTGAATTAGATTGGTCCTCCTATGGTCTTGAACACTAGTAAACCTTCACCTCTATATCCCCGGAATACACAGGTTTGTGGAAACCCTATATCTCTCACACTCGTTATTCTGTATACTGTAAGATTGTATCTCATCCCGAATAAGAGATATATCGTGTATATAGATGGGGCTAGAAATGAGGATCGAAAAAGGAATTCTTATCCTAGCTCCATTTAGATAGAGATAGAGTTATCCCATAACTCTATCCTATTTAACTAATTATAATAAGCACCACAATAATATTGTAATTGCACTCTAGGATTCAGAAATTACAACAAGGCCCTTTCATACTAAATAACTATAACTAAGTCCTTCCACTACCGAATATCCATAAGTAGGCCCAAGGAAAATAAATACTGTCCCACCTAGGGCATGCTTACTTCTTATATTCCTTGAGTAACCAATTTAATCCTTATGATCACTGAATTTCTTTTATAAAAGAATTTTCAAAATAAATAATTTAGTAAACATTTTACTAAAATGCCCTGGTCAGGTTCCAGTGATCAAACTTATTAAATTGCATCAAGGGGATATTCTAACTCTTATAAAGAGTGTGGATTCCATGTTGAGCATTTGTGTTCCCAGAACTCCAACATTAGCCACCCAAGATACCATGGTATTGACCTTAAAAGATCTCACATGTTGGTAAGTCAAAGTGACCAATACTGAAACTTGAGTCCACTAAACCTCTCAGGATTTAGAGCTTAATGTATTTACTAGATAAGAATCACACCAAAATAATAACAGTAATTTGTATGGTGTGATCTTATAGTGATCCAGTTCAGTGTACTCTAAGCACACTAACACACTACCTTAGAGTCAACTACCCTAATGGTCGAGACAAACCATCATATCTTATAGAGGTAAAGTGTGTTACAGTCTTACAGATAAAAGTGCCCAACTGTTATCACTGACTGTGAACAATGCCAAGGTGCAAGAAACTGGTGAGCCCAAATCTTTTGCGTGTAAATCTCATTTACACACTTAAGTCACCTATAATGCAACTTGAGGACAATAATGCATCTCATGCAAATATATGTAAAGCCCAATGCATGAATATCATATTTATAAATAAAATATTGAATTAATATTTATTAATGGGCTTGTAGGGCATATAATCCCAACAATCTCTCACTTGTACTCAAAGCCAATTACCATTACATCTAACACCCATCCCTTCAATATGTGACTCAAAAACCCTAGTTGGTAGAGTCTTACTGAAAGGATCTGCAAGGTTATTTGCAGATGCAATCTTAGTGACAACAATATCCCCATACTGAACTATGTCTTTAAAACACCACCACGCTTCCATCACTCTTCTTGTATACACAAAACCCATTCAGATTCTGATCAAATCGAATGTTTTGTGTCACAACCATTCATAACCTTTTCATAAGTATAGAGGGATCTTGCTCTTCTGTGATCATCTCGTTAGACTTTCCCGAGAGCATTAACCTATTAGATGGCCTGATAACCCTCCCACTACGTTAAGGTTCCGATATAATAAGAGATTCTGGACTCGTAGTTTTTGATGTCTCAATTATTTCAGCATCATATAAAGAGTGAGGTATAAGAGTAATTAAATAAAGACTATCCATCAATGTACCAGAATATATAAACCTTTTATTTTTATTTATTAAAACTTCTAAATCAAAAATATTGAAAACTCAGATTTTGAAAAAACTGAAATAGAAATCAAGTATCTTCTACTCTCTGGTACATAAAGACGATCGTTAATAATAAACTCCTATAATTTATTTCAAAATAACTACTCCTACTGATACTACCGCTATCCTTGCTTGTGAAGCAAGATGAAGATAGATATCTCCCCTTCACTCAGTCTTCTGGTTTCCTGGAACCCTTACAATAAATTGCAAACATGGTTAGTGGCTCCAGAATCTACAAACTAGGTATTCGTAGATCCAACCACATATCATGTCTGAATAATGAGTGACTGAAGCATACTTTCAGAGTGCTTCTTTGCTAGATACACCCAACAATTCCTTTTCCAGTGTCCTTCCTTACCACAATGGAAAAAATTTCCTTTGATTTTAGCTTTTCCCTTAGCCTTGACAATTCCACCACTAGTACCAACCTTTTTGGGGACGGTGGAACCTTGCTTCTTATTAGGGTTCTTGCCTTTCGGCTTTCCATGAGAAGAAGCACCCTTTTCCACTGTATGAACACTCCCTTGACCCTAAAAAATACCTTCTGCAGCTTGTAGAGCATTCATCAGTTCTGATAAAGAATAAGCCATACTATTCATAGAATAATTTAGTTTGAACTGATTGAATAACTCTGGCAATGATTGTAGAATTATATCAACCTGGGTCTCACCATCTATGTCTGCCCCAAGAACCTCTAGTTCATTGAAATAAGAAATTATTTTTAAAAGGTGTTCGCCAACTGGAGTTCCTTCGGGCAAACGAGCGTTCATAATCTGTTTCATTGCGACTTGTCGTGCCGCTCTACTTTGTTCCCCAAACATTTCCTTAAGGTTCAACAAAATGTCACGAGTAGTGACAAAAGACTGATGCTGATGTTGTAAAACATTTGACATTGAAGCTAAAATATAGCACTTGGCCATTTCATCAGCCTTTTGCCACTTCTCATACATTTCTTTTAGCTCCTGGCTGTCATCAGGGTCAGGCATAGGAGGTCACTCTTGAGTGAGCACAAATTTGTACTCCTGTGTAGTAAGAACAATGTGAAGATTTCTCTTCCAGTCAATATAGTTTGACCCTGTTAATTTGTTGTCCTTAAGTATAGCAACAAGTGGATTGAAAACATTCGACATCTGAAATATAAACATTCATGCATAAATAAAAGTGCATACATTCTGAAACAAAAATTAAACTTTAGTTTTCATATAGCCACTCCATTGGTCTCTCTAAACCACAGATATAATGAAAACATCGGTAATCATAATCCCTGTAGGTATTCACTCATTTCTCTCAGGGGGCAATAAGAACATGCCACTACCAAGAGATCATGTCACTACCTTGATTAGACGGAAACAATTTCCACCACATCCCACTATCTAGGCATCTCATGCCAAATAAAATACTGCAACCGATTTAACCTAGGCCTCTAAGTGAAAATACCCCCTGAGGTGGAGCGTACTCCCACTTAGTCAAGTGTATACTATTGTCTAGAAGTAGTGCAATTGAATAAGGTCCATCTCCTAATGGTGATCGTCGCCATCCGCCTACCGCTAGTTCTATCATGCGAAATCTATATCTAGTAACCAGTGAAACAAATACCCTCCGGAGGAGCACCCAAGATTGGTGGGAAGGTACTTGTTACACCTTACAATAGATTGACAATGAAAGGCTGTGGAATTTAAAATTAAATCCCGCTCCCACTTGATTTTTAAAATTAGAGAGTTTTCTTTAAATTCCATGCATCTCATGCATAATATCATTATATAACAATGTTAATTTTAATCTAAATAATATTGGAATCTATTTTAAAATTTCCTTTAGGCTCAATGAGCTTAATCCATTTAGGTCAATTTAGCTCAATTTCTTGAGCTTAACTATGGGATAATCCTACACTTTCCACAAAATTTAAAAATATATATATATTTATATATTTAATTTTCTAAAAATCAAATTTTCAAAAATATTTTGGAAAGTGCTAATTTTCCCAAAACAACCTAAATCAATAATTCCAATTTTGTTTAGTTTAAAATTAACTAAAACACAACTAGAGTAGTTCATGATTTAAACAAGACATTCAAGCATATAACCATCACATGAATATAAGCATGCAAAAAATCATGTTGCTTCATCAATAGTGCTAATCCCCTCTCATGGCCGGTTAAATATCATCTCATGATCACCTTGTACTTCCAAATTCCTCCATTGGAAGCCGTTGACTCTTATCTTGTTTGAATCCTTTCTTGAACTTTTCAAGAACTTCAACCCTAAATTTAATAATATAATACAAGGTTTTTCCTTATACCCAATTAGGGCTTACAAAAATCCTAAACAAGATAAAATAAATAATTAATTAATTCTTATCCGGCTAGGGAAAAGTAACCCTTATTAGATCAGCCCTTTACAAGGCCGCTTCTAATTAATTACATCACATGTAATTTAATAATAAATTAAAATTGTACCAGGCCATGAGAGAGATTAAATTAATTAATCTGCACCTGCAAGTGAGCTTTGATATATATACAAATACATACATATATCCAACTGAACATCAACAATATATCAAATGAATGTGTTGAGCAAATAGAGCAACCTATTCATTATATCAATATATTTTCTAATATATATGGACAATCCATCACATAGAAAGTCTTTAATTGGAAGGTCATTATTAAAAAAAAAAAAAAATTAAAATCCCATATACTTTATAAAAGGAACATAAACCTGGTAATCACTAGTTTTCCTTTAATAATTTTTTTATCCATGTAAACTATATACAACTAATCTGGGTAACAATCTATGCATTATATCATGTGTATTTAGCCTACCCAAAATCCAACAGTTTTATTTTTATATGGGCACACTGGACAACTTCCAAAAATAAAATACCAAAGAATTCTCAAATCCTTTCGTTACCAGCACTGGACGATAAATGCGAATAAAAACCTTTATTTTTGTTTTATCATATTGGACGTTCTACTCAAGATCAAAAGTAATCTGATTACTTTTTGTATGGATAACCCATCACATGGGAAGACCTTTACTGGAATGCCTTCATTAGAAAACTAAAAAGTTCATATATATATACAAATAAATACAGCATGACTTTCAAACTCAAACTAACAATGAGTTTCCAATGAAAATCAAAAAGCATATCACCATCGTCACTAGCCACTGTGGGTTTATTAATAATTAAAATTCGGATTATTCATCACCATAACCCATGCCATATGATCTTAAATATAATTAACCTGAGCAACCTTTAAAAGAAAACCCTCAACAATCATATATTAGATATACATCCAATACATAACAGTGGGAGGTTAATATAGAATAATCTATAATCGAAGCGTGTAAGCCCATCACATGGTTAGAAAGTGGTCTGTTATGAAAACTTAAATATAATATTATATTTATTACAACAATTCCCATCACATGGGTGATGAAGAGTTCAACGAAAGAATTTAAATACAATATAATATCATTTAAATCATACCCATCACATGGGTGAAACTTGGAAAAAGGAAATATATATATATATATATATATATATCATACAGAGGGATTTTGATATATATATATCAAAATCCCTCTGTATGAACAACCTGGGCGTGATTCTAAAAGCAATTAAATAATTGCCTTCTCTATCACAAGACCTTGTGTTCATCCAGTGCATAAAACAGTAAGCCCATCACATGGGTGAAAACAGATCACACGCGGCTGTCTTTACAAGCCGTTGCAAACTAGTATATTATTATTTTATTTTTCATCACTGTGATCCGATTTCTATCTCATAGATTAACAGATCAAACAAATAAAATAATAATAATAAATTAAATATTCATAAAACAAAAAGAATTCATGAACACAAATCTATACATGCATAGATTAAAATCAGGTATTCAAATCATCACTATGATTTGATGAAAAACATATGGGTTGCTTTGAAACTAATTGAAGGCACAACGGAAGCGATAATATAATTTCAGGAGCATAACCACATGATATTTCATCAAATCAAGAAATACTAAAAAGGGATTTCATACCTTTGGACGATTGATTAATCGTCAATACTCCGAGAATAATAGTGAATTAGATTGTCCTCCTTTGACCTTGAACACCAGTAAACCTTCACATCTATATCCCTAGAATACACAGGTTTGTGGAAACCCTATATCTCTCACACTCGTTATTATACTGTAAGATTGTATCTCATCCCGAATAAGAGATATATCGTCTATATAGATGGGGCTAGAGATGAGGATCAAAAAAGGAATTCTTATCCTAGCTCCATTTAGATAGAGATAGAGTTATCCCATAACTCTATCTTATCTAATTAATTACAATAAGCACCACAATAATAATATTGTAATTGCACTCTAGGATTCAAAAATTACAACAAGGCCCTTTCATACTAAATAACTATAACTAAGTCCCTCCACTACCGAATATCCATAAGTAGCCCCAAGGAAAATAAATACTGTCCCACCTAAGGCATGCTTACTTCTTATATTCCTTGAGTAACCAATTTAATACTTATGATCACTGAATTTCTTTTATAAAAGAATTTTCAAAATAAATAATTTAGTAAACATTTTACTAAAATGCCCTGGCCAGGTTCCAGTGATCAAACTTATTAAATTACATCAAGGGGATATTCTAACTCTTATAAAGAGTGTGGATTCCATGTTGAGCATTTGTGTTCCCAGAACTCCAACATTAGCCACCCAAGATACTATGGTATTGACCTTAAAAGATCTCACATGTTGGTAAGTCAAAGTGATCAATACTAAAACTTGAGTCCACTAAACCTCTCAGGATTTAGAGCTTAATGTATTTAGTAGATAAGAATCACACCAAAATAATAACAGTAATTTGTATAGTGTGATCTTATAGTGATTCAGTTCAGTGTACTCTGAGCATACTAACACACTACCTTAGAGTCAACTACCCTAATGGTCGAGACAAACCATCTTATCTTATAGAGGTAAAGTGTGTTACAGTCTTATAGATAAAAGTGCCCAACTTTTATCACTGACTGTGAACAATGCCAAGGTGCAAGAAACCGGTGTGCCCTAATCTCCCGCGTGTAAATCTCATTTACACACTTAAGTCACCTATAATGCAACTTGAGGACAATAATGCATCTCATGCAAATATATGTAAAGCCCAATGCATGAATATCATATTTATAAAAAAATATTGAATTAATATTAATTAATTGGCTTGTAGGGCATATAATCCCAACAAAATCCACACACTTATGTTCTCTTTACTCACTTTTGTTTCACTACTCATTCCATCCAAAATACCGAACAACTACATGGAATCAATCCATTTAATAATTCTACATAATACCCTTTTTAAATCACAAAGAGAATATTATCACATCATGACCAAAAGGCGCTAACTATGCCTCTTTTGTTTGTTCCTCTATATTATAATTAGTTAATTCAAATTCTCAACAACTAGCAGCAAAAAAAGAATGAAGATTGAAGAATAAAGAATGAAACCCTTCAAAACACTAACCGTTATACTCTTATAGCTGGCCACTTGTTATTCCACCTAGTGTATTGCTTGAAATCATGTAGGTTACAAGAGAGAGAAATTTATCACAACCCTATTTAGTCTTCATCAAGTGGAAGCGCCTTACTGGTTCATCATCTACGTATATACATAGCTATCTATATAAATATAATGTTACTATAGCAGATTTCAAAAAAATTCACATGTAATGGAGAAACTACCTTCGACAGTTAAGTACTTGTCACATATATGATCAAAGATGAATAATTTAAAGTTGACATTCACTTCCCAATCACAAGAAAAATTCTGTGTATCGGATATTGCCAGGTATAGTGAAATATGATCTTTCACCTTTCTTTTCTTATTCCCTTTAGGATAGAAAGACAATTTCCTAAAAACTAAAAAATAAATAGATATGATTAGTTTAATTTTGATGTAGAGACATGGATAAATTAAGAGTATGGAA